CGGGTGTCCCTGGTCTGCTGGGGGGGTCCAGCGGCTTTGCTGGACCCCCCCAGCAGACCAGGGAGACCGGGAGAAGCTTTTCTCGCTCCGGAGGACATGGGTGGCGACCCGCCGCCCGTGAACTCCGGGGCGAGAAAAGCCCCGTTCGTAAGTGCGGATCCGACATAAGTCGGAACCGTGTAAGTCGGGGACTGCCTATATTTCGAAATAAATTCAAAATAGCGGAGGGCTTATTTCGAATTTGGTAAACCTCATTCCATGAGGAATAATGCCAAAATCGAAATAGCTAAATCCCATCCCCAGAGCAGAGATCAGGGACCTAATTCAGGTTTGGGGGGATGCCTCCAACATCCATGATCTCCGCACTAAATGAAGGAACGCAACTGTCTACAGGCAGATGGCTGCCAGCCTGGCCACCAAAGCCATATGTGAACCGAGGAGCAGGTTCGCATGAAAATAAAGGAGCTGCGGCAGGCGTATGCCAGGGCCATAGGGGGCAGCTCCCAACCAGGGGCAGACTCAGGCCCCTGCCCCTATTTTGATGCCATGGACCACATCCTGGGGGGCAGGATGGGCCGTGCCCCGAAGCTTGCTGCCTTCTGCTGATCCGGCCCCTGCTGCCTCCCCAGCTACCACTCCTCCTTCCACTTCTTTTCCCCCTCCCTTTTCTTCCTCCCCACCCTTCCTACACCCCCAGGGATGCTGAGGTCCCCACACCCACAGTGCTGAGAGACAGTTGGGCTGGCGAGACCCGCAACTCTGAGCCCTGAGCTTCTCCTCCCGCTTCCTTCCCTTGCCTCCCCCTGCCAGCTCCCTCCTCCCAGGTTTACCCCTCCCCTCTCTCACCCTCCCTCCTCCCCTCTCCCACCTTTTTTCCCTAGTCTCACCTCAGTTACATTCCCCCATCCCACCCCACCCCAGTTTTGTTCAATAAAGAGGCTTTGTTGTAATGAACACGTGTCTTTTATTGTACAGCAGGAAGGAGGGTTAGGGAGGGGTAAGTGGAAGGATGTGAGGGAGGAGTGTGCAGTGGCGGTCAAAAAGGCAAATAGGATGCTAGGAATTATTAAGAAAGGGATAGAAAATAAGACCCAGAATATCTTACTGCCCTTTTATAAAACTATGGTACGCCCACATCTTGAATACTGTGTACAGATATGGTCTCCTCACCTCAAAAAAGATATTTTGGCCTTGGAAAGGGTTCAGAAAAGGGCAACTAAAATGATTAGGGGTTTGGAACAGGTCTCATATGAGGAGAGGTTAAAGCGACTGGGACTTTTCAGTTTAGAAAAGAGGAGACTGAGGGGGGATATGATAGAGGTATATAAAATCATGAGTGGTGTGGAGAGGTCAGATAAAGAAAAGTTATTTATTAGTTCCCATAATAGAAGAACTAGAGGACACCAAATGAAATTAATGGGTAGCAGGTTTAAAACTAATAAAAGAAAGTTCTTCACACACCATGTAATCAACCTGTGGAACTCCTTGCCAGAGGAGGCTGTGAAGGCTAGGACTATAACAGAGTTTAAAGAGAAGCTAGATAATTTCATGGAGGTTAGGTCCATAAAAGGCTATTAGCCAGGGGATAAAATGGTGTCCCTGGCCTCTGTTTGTCAGAGGCTGGAGAGGGATGGCAGGAGACAAATTGCTTGTTCATTGTCTTCGGTCCACCCTCTCTGGGGCACCTGGTGCTGGCCACTGTCGGTAGACAGGATACTGGGCTAGGTGGACCTTTGGTCTGACCCAGTACGGCCGTTCTTATGTTCTTAGGAATGAGGCTCAAATCCCCAGTGGGGCACACCAGGGAGACTGTTACTGCCTAGTTAGAACCGGCTGTCCGGGGGAGGAAGGTGCGGGGTGCGTCCCTCTAAGCACATCTCAGATAGCCTCAGGCAGCAGCCACACAAGGTAACTCCTGACCTGATGCCCAGCCAGAACCGGTTCTGGCTGGCCTTACATGCGATTCAGCGTCCCGTGGACGTGCTATTTTGAAATAGCAAAATGCTATTTCAAAATGCATTTTGTGTCTAGATGCATTATTTCAAAATAAGCTATTTCGAAATAATGCTGTAGAGTAGACATACCCATACTGACCTATCAAACATGTTTTCTTCTTAGGTAGTCAACTAAAAAAACCAAAAACAAACAAAATGAATAGCAGAGTTCACATTAGCTGTGTTTCCATATTCTAAATGCTATTCCATTCCTTAATGTAATTGCTATTTGATTGTCTTTTAGAAAAAAGGCCATTCTCTTAGAGTTGTCTATTGAGCTTCCCAGCTAACAGCTTTTTAGGATAAACTGCTGCTATAACTTGGCTGAACAACGATGTCTAATTCCATGTTAGGGAATAAACAAATAAATTCATGCGACGAAGCTCTTGCCATCCGTTGTGAGTATGTAAGGTGGTCAATTTGTTGGGGCCTAAGAACTAACCCTAGTTTTTACATTCACTCTATTGCCTCAAGAAAAACTCAGCTATACTGAGGTCAGTTCCTTATCTGTAAAATGGGGATGAGAATAATATTGGCTCTCCAATCCTATACAGAGTGTTAGGGAAAATCTGTAAGAATTAAATAGCTCCTATATAAAAAGAAAATATCTTTTTTAGATTCAACAAGCCCTGATATAGAACATAGGCATGATTAGCGACCTCTGGTGTTAAAAAAAAGAATGCTTGTGGCAGAGGTTAAACAGCAGTTGGTCCTTAAACAATCTGTATACCCTTCTCTTTTGGTTTTTAATTAAAGTAAATAAAATGAAACAAATGTGATGTATGGTTTGAAAACTCCCATGCTGCCTCATACCAGGTAGCAGTCTTGACCCAATATGACAGTCTGAACCTTGGGGGTAATCTCTGGGGATACAAAGAACATGATTTGATGGAAGTCTTTAAAAATACCATATATCTGTACACATTCTGAGACAGACAATTCTGAAATAGGGCACAGCCAGTAACAAAAAGAGGGGCCTTTTGGTTTGAAGACCTCTCCAGCTTCCAGAAAACCATAGTGTTGGTGGGAGGGAGAAAGCAGAGTTCTCTGTTAGCTGGGGACCTTTAAACAAAAGCAGTCATATTTATCAGATATAAAGCTGGAACTAACCATCACTACTAGCAAGAATGTGGTGAGGAGTACTTAAACTTCAATGTAGTTGTCCCCATTGGTCTATCATGAATACACCCTAGCACACTCCCTATGGACAAGACACTAATTTTCTGTGCAAGGAGGTCCTTAATACTTAATGTTGTAAATCCCTCTGATGTCTTTGGAAGAAAGAAGCTTTGTACAGCAATGTATTTATTATTATTATTTTATTTTATTATTATTTTTAAACATTTGTTTTTATTGAAAGCCACTCCTTCAGTGGTGATTAATATTTATGATGAGTGTAATAATACTACCCAAGCTTTGTTCAATATATTTAATTTTTTGGACAAAAGCATAGTTATTCTATAGAATGACATCAGATAATTTTTCATTGTACATTTGAAATGAGATTATTGAAATATAGAAATAATTTCTATATGGAAGGCCCCCAAAATGAACAACAAAACAATACAGATTAGTGTGATTACTTTTGCTAGAGGTATTGCTATAGGTATACATGAAAGTGGACGTATTGTTGCTAGAGATCTGCAGTGATTAATGAATTATTACAACAATTTGTTTTGAATTCTGTGGACCCTCCCCACAGTAGAATAATCATGATAGAGAGCCAATTTTTATGAACGCAAAGTTTACTCTTTAAAAAAATCTTTTTAGCAATATATGATTAAGAGCAATAGTTCAACTCTTATCTACACGTGGAACATAGTGATCTTAATAATGGAGATGACCTTTGATTTTCTCTGCAATGTGGATGTTAAAGAGGTGAAGTTCCTTGATGGTACCTAACAGGAAGTGCTGCACCCATAAAAGCCAATTTGGTAGGAAGGAGTGAATTGTCTGATCAAAGGTAATGAAGGAGGAAGAAATTCTGAGTAGAAGAGAGTGAGTGTTTATGTGTGTCTAGTGGTGGTGAACAACAAAAGAAGCGTGACGTATATATTTGGTATTGGAAATCTATATTTTCTAATTTTTTTTCAGGGGAAGCCACCTGGACTAATTCCCCTCTCTTACTAAGTAACATTGGGTATGTCTACACTACAAAGTTAGTTCGAACTAACGGACGTTAGTTCGAACTAACTTTGATAGGCGCTACACTAGCGCTCCGCTAGTTCGAACTTAATTCGAACTAACAGAGGGTATGTCTACACTACCCCGCTAGTTCGAACTAGCGGGGTAG